AAGCCAGGCACAGCGGGGGGGGGCACCCCGACCCGGACTGGTGGATATACTTTTTGGCTATCGGCTCCAAGGCGACCGCCAGGGAGCGGGAGCGACGTCCGGGGCGGCGGAACGGTGCGAATTTGCGAACACGGCCGCCAGTGTCGGCGAGCCAGTTCGCATAACTACACGGTGGAGGTATGCCAAGCGTGAAGAATTTCAAACAGCACTCCACAACACTGGTCGACACGGTATCCATAATTCGGGCCTTCGGCTGCATGACTGGCAATCCAGCAGCATAGACGGTAGCACTGTAAAGCTTGAGTGCATGGTCCCTTATCCCCAACCACCGGAGACCCAAGAAAAACTCCAGAGAAGGGGGTCCTGCGAATTCCCCAAACATGGAATCGCCCCAAGAAGTAATTTGAATCGGTTTACAAAAAAGCTGGACACGTCCATCTTGAGGAATTGTGGCGCGCGTCTCTAGACAACTCCTGATATCCAATCGCTCCCTGGCATAATATAACTAGCTATACGAGTGAGCTGATGTAAAAACATATCCCCGAATGGGCTACCCAAAGGTGCTTCATCTAAAACTCTGCTCTGCACATCCTCTCGGTAAGGTTCGACAGAATCACCGAATAGTTCTGGATTCCTTCGACGCGGTGAATTTCCTCCCTATGTTTCCCAACACCTGCTTCCACCATGATCGATCCGCACTGTCGTCCCCTTCTAAGTTCAGGACGCCGGGAGGTTGGAGATCAACGATTCGTCCCTCTCGTACCGAGTTCGTCATCGTATGCTTGTTGTGCCATCCGTTTCCGAAGTTGAATTGTTGCGCCGGCTTGTGTGTGGCCACTATGCGGTATTTCCTTTTCATACGGTCTCGTACTGCAACGTCGAAGCGCTCAGCATCTCCCCGATACATTGTGGAAATTCCAATGTCTATTGCAGTGACGCTCCGAATGGTCATTGCTGCATATCGTGCCGCCGCTATGCAAGCAGATAGACCGCTATCCTTATGGTGCAATTCTCTGACGCTCGTCCGTTGGGGAAACCAAGAGGCACAGATACCGCTACTCCCCGGACCTCCCCCTGGGCACGTTCTGATTAGGATTTCGAGGCGAATCCAGTGGTGGTGACGAGGGCTTCCCATGAGGCCCCAGAAGGCGAAAACCAAAGAAGAGTTGCAATATGGGTACCTGCTCCTCCTCTGACCTCCATTATCATCCTCCTCCTCCCCCCTTCCTCCTCCTCATCATCCTCCACCTCCACCTCCTCCTCCTCCTCCTCCTCCTCCTCCTCCTCCTCCTCCTCCTCCTCCCCCTCCTCCTCCTCCTCCTCCCCGTCATCCTCCTCGTCTCTCATCCACCTCGTCCTCCTCCTGCCCTCCCTCCCTCCCTCCCTCTCTCCCTCCCTCCCATCCTCCCTACCTGCCTCCTCGCGCATCCACCGCGCCTCCCTCGCGCCCCGCGCAGGGGCCGCGCCGCCGCATCCCAGCCGCGGCAGCCTGGCCGCGAACTCCTCCTGCTGTGCGCGCGCGCCGCGCGCGGGAGGAGGAGAAGGAGGAGTAGGAGGAGGTAAAGAGGTAAAGGCGCTTCGGGGGCTGGCCTGCAAGCAGAGCTAACGACCTTCTGGGCCACTGCGGAGAGGTACTAATTTGTATGCAGGGCCGAGCGTCTCTCTGGACACCCTCGGCCTGCCTTGGGCGCCCCCCTGGCACGGTGGCGAGGGGGGGCCCGCAGCACGGGGCTGGGACTCCTTTAGAAAAACAGCAGGAGGAGGAGGCCCGAATCCATATAAACCGTCATCCATGTCAGCTGTGCTCTGCACGTGATGCTGATGTACAATGCGACGTAGAAGTATCCCAGATGTGGTCAGAATCGATGGAGTCGGAGAATCGCGCCGCATCGTCGATGCATCACCGATGCATCGACGGTGCATCGGCGACGTCGGCGATGCATCGTCGACGTCGACGCGGAGAACATCGGCCGACATCGCCGATGCATCGGCGATGCGGCGCGATCATCCGCCCCCATCTGCTCGGACCCAATCCGGGAGGCCTAACAAAAAGGGTGAGGGTTTTGGGTAGGGAACCAGTGGAAAGGGACCCAGGGTCTGAAAACGGATGGGAAACCAATTCAGGCTTGGCCATGGACATCATCGCCGCCGTCATCAGGCAAGGAATCCCCCAGGGCCTGCGGCCGGCCGGGCACGCTCCTGAACGAACGCCCCCACCGTGACTACTCCTTGAGTGCGTGCCGCGCACCGCGCTTCCGAACCTTGAGAGCCTTGGCGGGTGCGGGGCCCAAACATATACACCACCACCACCTCCCCCCCCCCCCCCATCCTCCCCTGGGAAAGAGGAGAGGAAGAATAGGGCAGTGGAGGGAGGAGGGATCGACGTGGCGGTGGTGCATATCTCCTGGGGCCCGAAGGAGGGGGCCCCCACCTCCGACGCGATGATGTTTTTACTCCCGGACTGTTCCCTCGATTGCGGGCCTCATGAGGCCTGCCACCGGCCCCAGGGCCATCAGCAAGGAGCCCGGGACGAAACGCCACGGGCCAGGACCCCTGGAGCCGCGCGCAGGAACGATCACGGAGAGCCCAGCAGGAGCAGAGGAGGGAGAGGTGGGGGATGACGCCGAGATTCTGGCGTCGCATCTCTTATCTGACAGGTCGGGGCCTGCGAAAGGTGCCCCGGGCCCAAGGTGCCGCCAGCTTTCTGCTCCACTTCCCTTGGGGCGCTCTCTGAGCTCTCTGGGCCTCGTGAGGGGCGCTCTGGATGAAGTGGGGGCCTTCTTGGAAATCCTGGGGGCACCTTGGGTCAAAGTCACTTTTAGCGACGCTCGAACCAGGCGTTCTCGCCCAGACCCGGGCCATCATACCCTCGCAGATCGATCTGGCTGGAGCAGCGCCGCAGAAAGATGGTGCCTGGGGCGCCGATCGTGAACATGTCAGCGTGTTGTATTGTTTTCGCGACGTGGAATCACAGATGAGAGAGAGGACGTTGTTGAAGACGGACGCTGTGTTGGAGACGGACGTTGTTGAATACTGGGCGTTGTGTTCAACGCGGAAGCACGGCGGGCGGGCGGCGGAGGGCGGGCGGCGGGCGTGCGGACGGCGGGCTGATCGGGATTTGAACAGAACTCCTAAGGGTTCTCTCTTGCAGCGGGATGCTGTCGAGTACTGGGTGTTATGTTGGAGACGGACGTTGTTGAGTACTGGAAGTCTTGTTGAACACGGAAGCACGCCGAACGGGCGGCGGGGGGGCGGGCGGGCGGGCAGGCGGCGGGCGGATCGGCATTTGAACAAAACTTATCTTGCATCGGGATGCTGTTGAGTACGGGGTGCTGGGAGCTGTCGAGTACTGGGTGTTGTATTGGAGACGGACGCTGTTGAGTACTGGGTGTTGGGTTGAATGCGGACACACGACGGTCGGGCGGTCGGGCGGCGGTCGAGCGGGCGGCGGGCGGATCGGGATTTGAACAGAACGCCCCAGGTGTCTCTCTTGCAGCGGGATGCTGATGAGTACTGCGTCCCACTGGGTGTTGGGTTGGAGACGGGAGCTTTTGAGCACTGGGTGTTGTGTTGGAGCCAGACACTGTTGAGTACCGAATGCTGTGTTGAACGCGGAAGCACGGCGGGCGGGCGGCGGGGAGCGGGCGGCGGACGGGCGGGCGGGCGGATCGGGATTTGAACAAACTCTGGGATGCTGTTGAGTACTGGGTGTTGTGCTGGAGACGGGAGCTGTCGAGTACTGGGTGTTGTGCTGGAGCCAGACACTGTTGAGTACTGGATGCTGTGTTGAACACGGAAGCACAACGGGCGGGCGGCGGGGGGCGGGCGGCGGACGGGCGGGCGGCGGGCGGATCGGGATAAAAGAACAACTCCTGAGGATTCTCTCCTGCAGCGACGTGCTGTTGCATACTGGGTGTGGTGTTGGTAACGGAAGCTGTTGAGCACCAAGTGTTGTGTTGGGGACGGACGCTCTTGAGCACTGGGCGCTGCGGTGGACGCGGAAGCACGGCGGGCGGGCGGCGCGGAGCGGTCGGCGGACGGGCGGGCGGCGGGCGGACAGGGATTTGAACAGAACGCCTAAGAAGAGTCTCTCTAGCAGCGGAGTGCTAGTACTGGGTGTTGTGTTGGAGACGGGAGCTGTTGAGCACTGGGTGTTGTGTTGAGAGCGGAAACACGGCGAGCGGGCAGCGGGGGGCGGGCGGGCGGCAGGCGGGCGGGCCGCGGGCGGATCGGGACTTAAACGAAATCCTGAGGATTCTCCTTTGCAGCGGGATGCTGTTGAATACTGGGCGTTGCGTTGGAGACGGAAGCTGTGAAGTACTAACTGTTGTGTCGGGGCCGCCCGCCCGCCCGCCGCCCGCCCGCCCCCCGTCTGGCGCTCCCGGGGGCCAGGCGCATCGGCGGGAGCCCCCTGGTAAAGCACGACCGCGAGGGTGCGCCCTTGAGAAAGGCTTGTCTCAGCACAGCAGGCAGGGGGCGCCAGCCCACCTGGGCACCGGCGACGGGGCGCATCCTCACAAGAAAGGGCCCCGAGGGGAGGAGGGAGAAGGGAGAAGGGGAGAAAGAGCAGAAGTCGGGTGTTGCTAGAAGTGCCCCTGGCCCAAGGTGCCACCAGGATTTCGAAGGAGGCCCCCACGGCCTCCAGAGCACGACTCATGAGGTTCAGAGGGCCCCAAGGGATCCAAGATGGAGCGAAACTCCGGGGGCGCCCTGGGCCAGGGGCATCTCGAGCAACCCCCGAAGTGGGGACAAAACGAGCAGGAAAGAGCCAGAGAAGGCGGAGGAAACGGGGCGCGCGGCGAGGGTGTGCGAGCCACCAAACGCCCCCCCCCCCTCCCCCTCCCTCCCTCCTCCCTCTCTCTCTCTCCCTCCCTCCCCCCCCCCTCCCCCCCCCCCTCCCCCCCCCCCCCCCCCCTCCCTCCCTCCCCCCCCCCCCCCCCCTCCCCTCCCCCCCCCTCCCTCCCTCCCTCCGCCTCCCGCGGGCGCCGGCCGTCCGTCCTTCAGGGCGGCGAGGGCCCCGCGGCCGCCTCCGCGCTCGGGCAGGGCCGCGAGGGCCCAGGCGACGCTGGACAGCCCCTGCATCCCGAGGGGGGGAGGCCCGGGCCCAGGCCGGGAGGCCCAGGGAGGGGGAGGGGAGGGATGCAGAACGAGGGGGAGGGGAGGGCCCAGGGAGGGGAGGGCCCAGGGAGGGGGAGGGGAGGCCCAGGGAGGGGGAGGGAGGGGAGGGGGGGAGGGGAGGGGAGGGGGAGGGGGGATGCAGAACGTGACTACCTACCAGACCTCCCCAACCCAACCCGAAGACCCGAATTTCGGGTTGGGGGGGGTACGGGTTCCATATGTGTTTTCTCGGTGTTCCCGGACCCCCCCCCCAACTGGAAATGGAGGGCAAATTGAGGCCTTCGGGTTGGGTTGGGGTGGTTTGGTGGGCGGTGAGAACGATGGAACGGTCGAGAGCGCCCAGGGAGGGGAGGGGAGGAGTGCAGAACGAAAGAGCGAACGGACAAACAAGACCTGCCGTCGCCAGTCCGTGCGGGTAGCAGGCGAACCGTTGCGGGCGCGCGAGCCTTGGAAAGGACCTGTGGACAAACACCAACCTGACATCACATAATCCACGCATCACGTATTCTCCCTCGTGGACACCCCACACATCTAGATGTGTAGCAACTCCGAACCACGATTCCCACATAGTCTCCACATAGATACCGCTACCGCTACTCCCAGAACCACTCCTAAGGTGCGTTCTCACAAGGCTTTTCGAAGCGAATTCAGCCGAGTCAACGAGGGCTCTCCAGGATGGGCAGCGCTGTCGACAACCGCTCCTCCTCTGACGCTTATTGCCCCCACGCCACCTTCTAGCCAAGTGTTGTGACGAACGAACAACACACACCCATACCCATAAGGGGGGTCGTTGGGAGGAGGACTGGCTATGGGTATGGGCGCGGGTTGTCGGACCCTGGGGAACGCTCCCGCTCGAGCGGGGACCCCCCTCCGACAACACGCACCCATAGTCCTCTCCGATCCCCCTATGGGTATGGGTGTGTGTTGTTGGTTCGTCATGTTGGGTCCCCGAGGGTGCTGGCTGCTGGCACGGTGCGCCTTTCTTCGCGCCGGGCGCTCAGTGTCTGGCCTTCGGGTGAGGACTCCAGTCCATGGCGGCCGTTCGGGACGATTCGGGCACCCCCAGAACACCCTCGGCGATGCGCAACTTCAGGAAGACACCCCGAGGCCAGAAAACCTCCAAGAACTGGTGGAAAACCCCACAATGCCTGGAACCGAGCTTACTGTGGGCAAGCCAACATGTACGACACCGACACCGCTACTCCCCAGACAACTCCCAGCGTACTGACTCGGATTTCGAAGCGAATCCAGCGGTGGCGACGAAGGCCTCCAAGGAGGCCCAAAGAGGGAAAACGAGGGAAAGGTTGCGGTATCGGTCCCTTTCCCTCCTCTGATATTACCCCTACGTTGCCTTTTGGTCGACTTCAGTTCGGGTCACCCCCCCTGCGCCGAGGCGGCTGCCCAGCCGACACGGAGCTCGTGGCGCAGTATCCGAGCCCGAACCAAACCTCCGGGTCGGTTTTGATGTCGCCGCGGCAATCGCGGCGGCCACAAATCGTGGCAAGGTGTTTGGCAAGACATGGCATGCCTCTTCCCAGCCCACCCCCCGCTCTACGACGCAGACGTCGCTCATAGTCAACCCGCCCGGCCTGCATCGCAAACTCCCCCATGCGGCAGCGCGCCTGGGCGCGCCAGACGGGGACCGCCGGGTGCTCCGCCGCAGGCAAGGCCGCGCAGGCCCAGGCGAGGTTGGAAAGCCCCTGCTGCGGGGCCGGGATCTGTGCATCTGGGGGACCAGGGTGTACCGATCCCGCCACTCCCTGGACATTCCCCGCGGTGTGTTCTGACTAGTCCCGAGGAGAATCCACCCGTGGCGGCGCGAGCCCTCAAGGATGAGTAGCAGCATCGGCACCACCTCCTCCCTTGATGCATCACCACCGCCTGGGGGCACCAATCTTCCCAGCCCTGACCCCTACAGGCGTCGCAGCGCTCACACACCGTGCGCGCTCGCCCAGGGTCGGGCCCCCGGGGGGGGGGGGCCTCGCAGGTCGACCGGGCCCGGGCAGCGCCGCAGAAAGGTGGGTTCCAGGGCTCCAGCCGTGACCCGCGATGTGGCGCTGTCTCCGCGACGTCGAATCTCAGGGAGGACCCTACAGGGACGGTGGATAGAAATGCGGTCGGGCCCCTGGGGGCCCGAATCCTGGCTGCCCCGATACGCAATACGCAGCCCGTAATGTCGAACAACGGTTCTAAACATCAATGTGGGGGGGCGGTTCACAAGTAGTTTTCCTGGCGCTGTGGTGCGCAGATAGACAACAAAAGGAAGGCGGAGCAAACCGGACCGCCGGGGACGTCCCCGCGACCGCCTTGACGCTCCGCGTGCAGGGGCGGAATCCTGCGCACCCCCTCTTGGCGTCAGGCCACGCGTGCCACGACCTGCGAACTTGGCATGGATAGAGACTGCGCTCAGGGACCACCCCCTGCGCACCCTCTGTGGGTCGCGAACGTACTACGGCAGGTTCGTGTCGTGCCGACCCCAGCGTTGGTTTTTGACACCGCGCTGGATCGTTCAACCTTGAACGATCGGCCATTTCCGCAACGTCCAATCGTTCAACATCGACCGATTCTGGGCCGCCCGCGGCGTTCAACCTTGAACGCCCGCGCTGGGGTCGCCGCTGGTCGACACGACGCAAACCTACCGTACACCTGACACGCCCTGCGACCTGGAGGAGGAGGAGGAGGAGGAGGAGGAGGAGGAGGAGGAGGAGGAGGAGGAGTTGGAGTTTGAGGAGGAAGAGAGGAGGAGGAGGAGGAGGGAGGAGAGGAGGAGGAGGAGGAGAAAGGAGGAGGGAGGAGGAGGAGTTGGAGGATGAGGAAGAGGAGGAGGAGGAGGAGGAGGGGGATCGAGACCGCGCTCAGGGACCACTCCATGCACACCCTCCATCACTGGTGCCGAGAAAACGCCGCGCCAGCCTTGCCCTGCGACCCTGGCGTGGACAGAAACCGCACTCGGGGACCATCCCCCCTTTCGGGTCGGGCGAAAGGGGGGGATAGCAAAGGGGGGGTTTGAGAATCAGCTCACGTAGCTGATTTTTCCGGCGCCTCCCGGCGCCGGAGGCGACGATGTATCGAGGAATGGGCCCCTCGGTGAGGCCGAAACTAGCTGCATTCAGCAAATTTCGTAACCCCCCCTTTCCCAATCCCCCCCTTTCGCCCGGCCCGACCCTTGCGCACCCTTTCTGGTGCCGGGAGGGCCCCAGAAATGGGGGTTCCGAGAGGGCCCCAGGTGCTTAAAGATGGCCTCAAAGATGGTGCAAGATAGTCCAAGCTGGCTCAAGATGGCCTCCAATATGTCTCCAAGTGGCCCCATGATAGCCCCTAAGTCGGGTCCAAGTGGCCGCGGAGACACCCAAGGAGGCCCTCAAGAAGCCAGAACCCCACCATAACCTAAAGGAAATCACTCCCGAAACCGCGTGAAAAAAAGCAATTGTAAATTTGGGATTGCGAAGGCCAGCATAAGGCCATTCAGCCTCACAAACGCGTGAGAATAAATCAGCTGCGAATTCGGATTCTGGGAGCCAACAAGGCCATTCAGCTCCAAAAAACAAGTGGCACGTGACTCACCCGAAACCGTCCGAGAAGAACACATGGTACATTTAAACGTGAGGCCATGCTTTTTTGTGCAGTTTTACAAGTGTATACACATATGTGTAAACATTTATACATATATATATATATATAACTTGTGCATCTATCAATCACATCGTTCGGTCCCCGTGGAATTTTTCCAGGGGGGCAATTTAAACAATTTGTTCTGCTATAGCTTAAATCAATGGCAGTCGGGATCCGAGGGGGGAGGGGGGTCGTCATCATTTTTCACCAGGTTTAAGGCATCAGCGTCTTGACACGGAGTTCGACACGTACACAGACAACGTATGTCTGGCGCGATACGGACGCTAGAACATGGCCCGACACGTACCGAACCAGCACGCAGCGTGTTGACACAGACGTTTTGAACACGGCGCGTGCTGCGTTCAAAACGGGCGTATCAGGGCAGCTAAGGCCCACATATGTCCACGTCCACCGCTTCGTTGGCAACTCATGGGAGCCTCCCATACTATTTTGTCGGCTCTTGCGAATCGACGCTAAGTCGACGCTAATCGACGCTACATCGACGCTAATCGAAGCTAGAGCTAGCCGACGCTGAATCGGTGCTATCTCCAGACGCTGATCGACGCCAACCGACACCAAAGGACGGAATCAAAAAAGTAGACCAGGCTCCCATGATTTGCCATCGGATCCACCGCCTCCTGGTGCCAAGGAGCGTCGGTCCTCCATGCGGCAGATCTGTACGAATCCCAGCCGCGGACCTGCGGCCCGAAGCCGGCCGGGAGCCTGCACGCCCGGTGCAGGACGCGGTCGACGAGCGGGTAGTCGCCAGAAGTCCCAGGCTTCCGACGTCGTGCTCTCTCTTACTGTTGCAGTTATATCGCGGGCGTTGCTTACACGCCAGTCGGAAGAGGTAGGTAGAGACATGAATTAGGAAGGCGGTAGAAAATATATTGGGTTCAGGCCATCCCAGAAAATGGTAAGGCACAGCAAGAACAGATCGACGCTCGAAGCAGGAAGGCGCTTGAAGCAGATTGAGATCAATGACTCCAGAAAAGCCTACACTTTCAACGACCGGCGTGGAATGGGGGGCGGCACATGTGGAAGGAGGAAGCCACACCTTGATTCACCCTTCCTTTGGGCCCCTTTCTGTCTTTATCTCCTCATGGATCGCCCCCCCACTACGCAACGCCCGAGCGGCGATCTTCCCTCGGCTCTTGGCTTCTGGGTTCGCTTCGAGCAGTTTTTCCTCCGTTTCCCCTACTCGAATGCTCCTCCTCCTCCTCCTCCTCCTCCTCCTCCTCCTCGTCCTCCTCGTCCTCCTCCTCCTCCTCCTCCTCGTCCTCCTCCTCCTCCTCGTCCTCCTTCTCCTCCTCCTCCTCCTCCTCCTCCTCCTCCTCCTCCTCCTCCTCCTGCTCCTTGCCTCGTCCTCCTCTTCCTCCTCCTACTCCTCCTCCTCGTCCTCCTCCTACCTCCTCCTCCTCTTCCTCCTCCTCCTCCTCCTCCTCCTCTCCTCCTCCTCTCCTCCTCCTCCTCCTCCTCCTCCTCCTCCTCCTCCTCCTCCTCCTCCTCCTCCTCCTCCTCCTCCTCCTCCTCCTCCTCCTGCTCCTCCCCCTCCTGGACCCCCCCCCATCGAAGCGAAGACCGCAACGTCGGAGGCCTGGGTGCGAGGAACGCCAACAGTCCGAGGAGAAGCAACTATATCGACACCGCTGAGGGGGGTGGGTGAAGTGATGCGGAAGGGGTAGGTCAGGTCCCTGATACCGTTGAGGGCAATTTTTTCTTCCACCACTACCATGGGTAGGAGAGGGATGATGATAATGAGGAGGAGGATGATGATGATGAGGAGGAGGAGGAGGACCTCCCAATCCTCCCTTCTCCCCCGCCCTACGTGTGGTAGTGGTGGTGGAAAGTTGGCCTCAACTGTGCTTTCTCTCAATCTTCGCTCCGCTTATCCAGCTTCTCTCGCCTGTTCGCCGTGTTCAGCGCCACTGCCGCAACACCACGCTTCATGCTCTCTAGCAATCCTCCTCTCGGGACGTGCTTTTCTTGCGTCCGCCCCTACGGAAGGCTTCGACTTTGGGAGGAGCGCGGCGGCCCCGTTGCTGACGCCCTTCCCTCGATCTGGCCCTTTGGAAAGGGCCTTCCCGGGGGCCCCCGTCGCTCCGGCCCCGGTCCGTCGCGGAGTCTCCCGGCCAGCGCGCGCCCGCGGGAGAGAGGCCCCGGGAGTGGCGGTGCCCCCGCGTCCTTCCCACGAGCGGCGGACCCAGCCAGGTCCTCGCCCTCGCGGTCTGGATCACGAGGCCCGGTCTTAGGTCGGGCGGGTGCCACGAAACACTTAAAAGAACTACAAATCATCGGAATAATGTTTATAAGAATGCTCCAGAAGTCGTCCGCAGATCATGTTTGTACTGTTTTTGCATTTTCCTACGGTAGAGGGCCACGCCCGGCTTAGGCCTGGTCCCATGGATGCGCGATCCCGCAGGTGCGTCCCCGTGCGGCGGAGCATCGGCGCGGTGCCGCCCTGCATATCCGTGGGCGGCGGCCGAGGAGTCCAGACCACGAGGCGATGGAGTTCGACAAGCGTCCCGCCCGCCATCCTTTGCTTCTCCACGGTCCACGAAGTGTGCACTTGGCAGAGAAGCAAAATGAACCCGCCGCGACCCATTTCAGGGGATGACTTCCAAAGTAAGTACCTCCGCGAGGGAACTGCTGTTTTGCTTTGTGTTGCGCTGCTTGGCGTCGGGTGGAGTTGCTTGGCGTTGCTTGGCAATGCCTTGCAGTACTTGGCATTGCTCCGCTTTGCTTTGCTTTGCGTGGCATTTTTTGTCATTGCTTGGCGTTTGTTGGCGTTGCATTGCTTTGCATATCTTGGCATTAAAATGGCATGCATTCGCATGGGTTGACATTGCTTTCGACTCCTTGGCGTCGCTTGGCATTCCTTGGCGACGCGGAACCACGACCAGGGAACCCAAGGAAGGCAGTCAAGAAGAAACCTGACGCAACCCGAGGAACGCAGTCAAGCAACAAGCCCAAGCAACCCGAGGAACGCAGTCAAGCAACAAGACCAAGCAACACGAGAGAGGCAACCAAGAAGCAAGACCAAGCAACCCGGGGAACACAAGCGAAATGAGGCAAGCTGGCTGGCGCAGGCCCGACACCCGCCAGTCCTTCAAACACAAACAACCAACACTTCGGCAATCCCAACAACTGGTGGAAGCGTCATACGGTGAGGTCATTAGGTAAGGAACCATTGTGCAAGGAATCCAAGGTCTGGAAGCCAGGTGGAACACCAACTGAGGCTGGACTATGGACACCACCGCGGCCATCATCAGACAAGGAATCGTCCAGGGTCTGAAGCCTCCTGGGCACAGTCCTTAACGCATGCCCCCACCGTAACTACGAACTCTCTGAGGTCCGCGCGGGTTGCTCGGATCGGCGCCAGACCCCCTCGGCGGCGCCTCCGGCGTCGCCCCCGGCAAACCTCGCGCGCCAGAGAGGAGGGCCCAGCGCAAAGCCAGGAGATCCGCGCGGACCTCCGACAACTTCTCGTGCCGACCTCTGTTCTTCGGCCGAACCTCGCGACCCCCGCCACGCGAGGGGCGCCGACCACGGCGGTGCTTCGCGGTGTCGCGCCAACCCCCCCGCCCCCCCAGGGCGACGAGATCTATACATATCCACTGCTCCTGGCCAGGCCCATCCTGGGCCCAGGGCCGGTGTACACTCCCTCCTGGCTTGGCCGGGGAGGTATATGCACCGCTCCTGGGGCCAGGATGGGCCTGGCCAGGAGCAGCGGATATGTATATATCTCGTTGCCTTAGCCCCTGCAGTATTCTCCAGGCCCGAAGCGCGAGGCACGGTGCCCCTGTAGTTCGCCCTTGCGAGCGGCCTGCAACGTTAGCCTCCGCGCGCAGCTGCCCCGGCTGGGCCGATCCATGGGCCAGTCACCGTGGGGTTGCGGTCTCGCTGGCCTGGCAAAGAATGCTCCGAACTCCATTGCAGCAGCGCTCAGGACAATCATATTCGGGGGGGGGGGGGGGGGGGCATTTTCGGGGCGGGCTCTGATTTGGCTTGTTTCGGGGGCTTCCCGGAGGTCTGGGCCAGAGGCCGCTCTTTTGTGGCTGTTTCTTTGGGGGGAGGGAGGGGGGTCAGAACCTGCTCGTCTGGGGGGCTTGTGACCCCCCCCCCTTATCATGAAATCTGGAATGCGCGGCCGACTCCGGATGCCCTCGGTCCAAGAGTGTAGGCTTAGGTCGGGCCTGTCCCCCTGCAGGGGGGTTTTGGGCGACAAGCGCAAAACCACACAAATATTCCAAGATGGCCCAAACATACAAAACTAGGGCTCCCAACTTCGCGCTTCGCGCTGCGCGAAGCGCGAAGCGCGAATAACTTCGCGCTCTCGCGCCGCCCTCCCAAAGGGAGAATAGGAGGACGAGGAGGAGGGGGAGAAGGAACGAGGACCGCGAAGCGCGAAGCGCGAATAACTTCGCGCCCTCGAGGGAGCCCTTGACAAAAATCGTGCCCGCATTTAAAAAAAAAACTATTTTTGAAGATCCCTCCTGCGGAGGGACAGGCCCTCCTACCGACGCCGGCCGGGCCGATCCTGCGCCAGGGGCCAGCGGAGGGCGGCCTCCCAGGCCTGCCCAGGAGCATGCGCGGACGCCCCGGCGGGGTCCCCACGGCCGGCCTGGCCAGGTCCGGTGCCACGGGGATCTCCAATCGATTCTGTGATGATCAGCGCTGTGGCTGCCCTATAGATCGAGTTAAGTACGAAAAACCGAGAGCGTCTGCTAGAATGACTCGAATAATACGAATAGCTTTGCGACCCTAGCTCGGCTAGCAGACCGAGTTCACACCTCTGGATTCAACAGCCGAACGCGCCTCATTATTCTGAATGCATTAGCTGTTGGCGTCCCTCGAGGATGCCAGGCGCGCCAGCGCCCACGCCGTGTTTGCCACGTCCTGCGGCGTGAAGTCGTCGACGCGGTCGAGGACGCCCCGCGCGACGGTGTGCAGGAGCTCCACCTCGCGCGTGGCGGGCAGCGCCGCGAACGCCCAGGCAAGATTGCTCGGCGGCGCGCACAAGGGGGTATGGGGGAGGGGGGGGCTTCTTAGAGGGGGTTAGAATGAGGCTGCTTCTCAGAAGGTGCTGGCGATGCATCTGCAGGTAAGACCCGCGCCTTCAAAAGCACAGCCTTCTCCTAAGAAGCCTCCCCCCCTCCCTCTACAACCCTCTGCACGTAGCCGAATTGCTAAATCCTTGTGCCGTGAACTCCGCGCTCTTCGTCGCTGCGCGCTCTGCGACCGCTTGGAACAAATCCGCCGTGGCCCCCTGTGGGGCGCCTGGCTGAGTGGGGGCTGCTGGTATGGACTGCTGTCCTGTTCTATTTGCACTGCCTTTTGAGTTTGGCTTCTCGTTTCTCTACACCCCTGCTGAGAGTTAAGAAGACTCGACGCTAACAGCATAGACTTCACTCCAAGCGTTTTCTTACACAATAGTCCAGGTCCAGATAAACGAAAACTCTACGGACGAAAAGAGGCTCCGAGAAAACGCTCAGGGTCCAATCCAGATGCTTGGTTTTCTTGAAAGGAGTCCAGAGTCCACGAACATTGAAACTGTTTCTTAAGATTTCCGATGGGTTTAATCCTGTCGCCGTTGTACGGCCGGACATAGGACACAAGAACATCCTCCAAAAATATGAGACCCTCCGCCGGCCAAACTGAAGAACATCCGAGGGTAGGTACCCGCAACATGAAGAACATCAGGGTACGTATCCACCCCGAACCGACCTCGATCTTATATCTCGGTCCGACCGAATTGTCTACTGCATAGGCCCGCTATCAAATAGAAACAACCCCGCGGGGGGCGGGTTTCTTGAGCCGCTCCAGGTTGCCCCAGGACTTCCTTTGGAAGCCACCGCGCGGCCAGCAGAGATCACGAGGCCTCGAAGGCAGCCCCAGGCATCTCCAGAGGAGGGCTTCCAGAGCCCAAGACGGTCCCAAGACGTCTTCAAGATGGCCTCAGGAGGCGCCCCCGAAAAACAAAAACATTGCACCCCAAACAGCGAACGCAATTGGGGTCCCGCTTGAGTTGCACCGCGACCGCGCTCTAGGGTGCGAAAGACTGTGACGCCCGCGTGCCGTCCCCGCCGTGCCGTGCCGTGCCGCTCCGCACCCGCGCCGGCAGAGAAGGCGCCGCCCACCGCGCGCGAGCCGTGCCGCGCCGCGCCCGCGTGCCGTGCCGTGCCCGGGGCCCCTTTCCGGGTCATGGTGCGGTGATGGCATTGGATAAGGTTTTTTTTCAGGCAGCATAGAGGGCCGTTTCGCGATGTTTGAACTCGCTCGCCAGTGAAAAGATTCCTTGACACTCAGCTCTACTCGCAATCGCCTCGCTGTCACGCCCCAGAGCGTGGTCCCAGATAAGGAAGCCTTCGATAAGGAACCCAGAGTCTGGGAACCAGTGGAACGCCGACCGTGGATTGGCCATAGATGCCACCACCGCCGCCCCCATCAGAGAAGGAACCCTCCAGGGTCTGAAGCATCCTGGGCACGTTCCTTAACGGGGATGGACAGAAGCCCCTTTAGTAAAACGTCCTTTAGCGAAGACGACCTCGGGCCTAAACCTGGCGGGCGCAGGCCTGGAAAATGACGGCCGCGGCGCCCTCTCGAGAACCGAAAACGGACAATCCACTGATCGACGTGTCAGGGTGAGAGTTCTGTCCACCCCCGGTCATGACAAATCCCGACGGACGGTGATTGATAGTGTTCCGCCTCTGGGGCCCATCGCCAGGCCCCACGACGCACGACCGTCCAGAAACGACTCAGGATAAGAAGCCGGTCCTGGGGAATGGGTCGAGACCTCTGGGCGTCGACGCAATGGCGTCGGGGGTCTGGGTGCCGCGCCCGCGTGCCGTGCGGCGCCCGCGTTTGCGAACAGCGTGCCGCCCTCGCCAAGACTTGTTCCTGTTCACGGTCTGTTCTCGAGATGTCCACAGATCGCTTCAAGACGTCAGCCAGAGCCTGCGAGATTCCCCCACAGTGGCCGCAAAAGGCCCTGAGATACATCCCAAATCGCCGAGGGTGGCCCAACAAGAACCCAAGACAGCCCCCACGACGCCCCCAAGATGGGCCCACGAGGCCTCAAGATATCCCCGATATTGCCCGAGACGCCCCCAAGACGGCCCCAGAGACCCCGATATGTCCCCCCAAGAGACCCTTCACCAAGATAGCCGCGAGATGTGCCGGCCGCTCAGGCTGCAGCCCTTGAGATAACAAGATCTGTCCTAGTGCGAGTCGCGGGCCAGTCGGCTCCAAGAGGCGCCCAGGAAGCCCCAAGATGTCCCCAAGAGGCTCCCACAAGGGCCCCAAGAGGCCCCTACGAGGGCCTCAAAGAGGCCCGAAGAGGCCACAAGAGGCACAACACAGCCTCCCAAAAGCCTCAGGAGGCCCCCGAGAGGCCTCGACGAGATCCCAACGACCATCCTAGATGCCACAGACCCACAACACAGGCACAGTGGCGGGATGGGCTGCAGCCGTTTAAATAATTAAATATTTCCTAGTGCGAGCTGTGGGCAAGTCGGCCACCGCCTTCATCCCATGAGCAGACAGAGACGCTCTGTTTCGCTACAGCCCATGCTAGACTGGCGAGGTCGTGCGCGTTGAACTGGCTCATTGTTCGAAGGCTCTCTGATGCGATGGCGACGAAGACGCTCTCGCTCCTGGTACTACTGGCCGCAAAAGCCCACGCAATATTGGACAGAGGCCGGGGTGCGAACTCGCTTGCCCTGAGCTTGCACTCCTCTCCGAGCGCTCGAAAAACCGCTGGGTCATGGAATCCTGTTGCCGAACATGCCCATGACAGCGCGGATAATCCATATATGGTCATCCGCTTCACCTCCCGGATCCCTGCAGTGGTAACTGCGCTGAGGGTAGGAGCATCTCTGACTCGGAGCGGCGCGAGTGCCCAGACGAGGCCGACGACACTCTTCGGCTCGAGGAAGTCTGCTTCGTGCTGCGCTAGAGAACACACTGCGTTGATGAGTGGCGGCTCCGAACGTTGCAATTTAGCGAGAGACCACGCAAATTGCAATACACTGCAGGCAGACATGCTGGACTGTCTGGAGGGTGCTTCGCTGGGCCCAAGTCCGCCTATCGAGCATGCAGCGCGATCAGGCGGGCGCTTTCGCGCGGCCACTGTCCTCATGGATATCGCATGGACGGCATCCTGTCCACAAGCCTTGCTCTGGCACATCTGGGGCACTGAGGCCGCGCGGCCATGGACAACCCGCGACATGGCGACGTCCAATCGCCGGCCACGGCTGGACGCAGAAAGGGGCACGCGCCGGCCCGCGCCTGGACACCCCTCCCCGAAGTCAAGCTTCTTTGCCCCAAAATGGCTAAGGAATACTTTGCAATCTGCTTTTTTCCAGCGCTGTGGATGATGACGACGATGGCGCTCTTTTTCGCAGGGACTGGATCGCAGGCAAGGGATACTGTGATTCATGGTGGTACCCTGTGCTGAGGAACCCCATGCCCCGCTGCAGCTCACACATATTAACCAATGCGATATTTCCTGTCAGCGCGTTAACGATGCGGACAAACTTGTACGTTATCCGGCCTGTACGCGCCGCAACTGTCCATTACGTCAGATGTTCAGGGATTCGAAACGGCATGCTCTTAGAACCGAACGAACAACCAACGAAAACTCCTTTTCGAAAAATAACTGCCTACCGAACGTCCAACTGTTACACAACTTCACACAATGAGGACGACTGAAACGAAAGCCACATTTGGAACATTAACCACCCTCCACGCAGCTGAAACATATTTTCAACCGTCGAACCTTCAAAGTTGAAAAATTCTGAAGTGAGAGCTCCGTCTTGACAAGGAGCCGTCCTCCATCCCTCCACCTCTTGCAAAGTTTTGAAACGAAGGTGCATGTCATTAAAGCAATGTATTGAATCGAATTAGTGTTGTGCAAAGGAGAGGCTCACATGTTTCAAACGGGCCGACCTCCATCACTGAAGCAACTTGAAAAAGGTAAGATCAATTTGTGCGTCGCTGACGCGGAAACCGCCTTGTGAAACCGAAGCCACCCTCCATTAAAGCTGCCGAAAACTATGCTGCGCGCCGCGCTACGGCGTAAGCAACAATTTGGAAACGGCACGCCCTCCATCCATGAAGCTGCTGGGAACCTTTGAGAAGAATGTGCGCGGCGCGGGGGCTACAGCCGCACGTTGAACAAAAAGCACGGCAGCCTCCAACTTTGACGCTGCTGGAAGCTGTAAGTCAAATGTGTGCGGCACTCGGACAGTAGCCCCATTTTGAAAACGGCCTGCCCTCCATCCTCGAGGCTGCTGCTTTTTTGTCTTCGGCGTCTGGTGGATAGGACGTAAGGACGCCTCAGGCAACACGCCGGCACACGCACGACACGCTTGGTGTTGCGACAGTGGTAAGTCAGTTACCGTCGCGAACTTCTGCGTAGCGTGTCGCGGCGGCGGCCCCGGCGATACGCTATGCCATGCGAGCGGACAGCGTGTCGCTCCGCTCCGCAGGGCGGGAAGCTCGGACAGGCTCGGGGCGTTGACGCCTTGACAGGGCAGCGTGGTGGGCAGGGGCTGGCGAAGCGACGCGCTATCCCAAAGTCCCCGACCGTATACTCGGGGGCGGCCAAGAGGGGGGCGTCCAAGAGGGGGGGGGGGGGCGCAAACCATGGCCGGCGGCATGTGCGCCGCCCAGGGGGGGCCGGGGACGTATGGAAGTAAGAAGCGACGCCATGACATATGGGGAGATATTATGGTCCTCGCCATGATATCCACACACCCCTAGTCATCACCCCCTTCTTTGTGGCCCCCGAGGGGGCAGAAGGAGAAGGGACGGAGGAGGCACGGAAGGCAGCACGTCGGCAGCGCCGTCTGCGCCGGCGGCGGCTCCGAGGTCCGCGCCCTTCGCGAACAGGTGGTTCGAGACCACGTAGGCGACCATCACCGCCGCCAGCTCGTACGAGAACCTCCGATCATCGGCACGCCCGGGATGGATGCAGGAGACACTTGGCGGCGAGCCCAGGGGGGGAGTCAGACGGGGCGGGTCTTCTCAGAAGGTTCGGAAGGCCTCGAGCCTTCCGACACGTTTTCCGAGCCAGCGGCGGCCGCTGTGTGGCAGTCACCCCGTTGTCCCCAATCGACACCGCCCGCGCGGCACAGACGGAGTGCCCTGTGCAGGCGGGGCGGGAGCCACGGACGGCAGTCGTCTTTCATGGAATAATGCGGGATGACAATTAATAAAACAAATCGGAGAGAACGATTAAAATATATTAGTTTTCTGCTATTTCTGCACAATTTTCTGACTGGAGGAGAACGATGTTTTACAAAATAGTTGTCCAGCCCGCGGCTGGATTTTTCTAATCGTCATCCCGGGCGCCGCCGCGTGAACACGACCCCCGGTCATTTATTAATCGTCATCCTCCATTATGACGGCCCACGTGCCAGTCTCGGCCTTCATGGAATACGACGGCCCACGTGAGAAACAGGCCCGACCCCGCCCAGTTGGCGCAGACGACCTCCCATGCAGGAGGCCCCAGAATCGGATCAATAGGTCGGATCGGCGATCGAAACGGATCGGATCGGCGGAAATCGGCAGCCGAGTCGGGGAAAGTCGAATCGGCGAACATCGGGAGGCTAGTATACCTCCAGTGGGAAATCGGAGCCCAAATTGGAATCCTAAATCGAACCGAATCGGAATCGGACGCCGTCGAAGTCGAACCGAATCGAATCGGAGGAACCGAAAAGAGCCCTGCCAACGGTGCGCAGATCGGCCCGCCCCCGTGCGAGCTGGAAGATCTGTAGTCACCGCGCCAGGGTGTGCACCCGGCGTGGGAGGCGGTGGAAGGCGCGCCCGAAGGGATGGCGCCCGCGCAACAACGGGCTCCTCCCGTTGTTTATCCTCGTACCCCGAACCCTCTTGCTCCTCCACTCTGCCATGCTCCCTCCTCCCTGCTCCTCCCCCTTTCGTCCTCCTCTTCCTCATCCGCCTCCGCTCCTCGCTTCCTGCGCCACCCTCCTCCCGGTTCCCGCCTCCTCCCTCCTCCCTCTGGCTCCATCTCCATGATACGTGTCTCCGTCCTCCTCCCTCCTCTTCTTACTGCGGTTGAAGGAAAACAGCAGCAGCGCCCGAAATAGAAAGAGCCACAGTCACCCCATCCAACCCCTGAGCTCGACATTAGCAAATGTTGCGTTTGAAATGTCTGAGCGCGCATCTCGGGGAACGCATCTTCAATATTGAGGCTGGGGGGCGGAGGGGAATCATGCAAAGGGGCTCCTACACGGTTGTGCAAAGTGTTTCTCTTCCCACGGTGCCTCCACCTAGCCCTCATCAAACGGCTCCTCCTCTTCCTCCTGCTGCTTCTCCTCCTCCTCCTCTTCCTCCTCCTCCTCTTCCTCCTGCTGCTTCTCCTCCTCCTCCTCCTCCTCCTCTTCCTCCTCCTCCTCCTCATACATCTTTCCGTCCCCCTGCCCTTCTTCATCCCCATCCCCCTCCTTATTCCTCCTCCTCCTCCTCATCTTCCTCCTCCTCCTCCGTCTCCTCCCTCCTCCTCTTCCTCCTCCTCCTCCTCCTCCTCCTCCTGCTCCCCTTCCTCCCTCTACCGTGGTTCCTGGAGAAGGAACCGGCTGTCGTAGCAATTGTTGGGCCCCTCGCACCCCAGGGTCGAGATCAGCGGGTCCCCGTAGGGAGCGGTGCCGTGCGAGGCGGGGGGGCGGCAATCATCGTCCTGAGGGAGCGGGGTCAGATGCTGCTCCTCCTCCTGCCCCTGCTCACCCTGCAATTCCTGCTCCTGTGTGCGTGCGGCTCTTCCTCCCCCTGCTGCTTCTCGATCGTGCTCCTCCTCCTCCTCCTCCTGCTCCTGCTCCTGCTCCTCCTCCTCCTCCTCCTCTTCCTCCTCCTCCTCCTCCTCTTCCTCCTCCTCCTCCCGCTCCTCCTCCTGACCTCCCGCTTCCTTCCCCTCACCCCTGCGGCCGGAGTTCGGCCAGCTGGGCGCTCCGATTACAAGGAAGACGAAGCGTCCAGCGCGCTCCACGACAGACCCCCACAACACGGCCGCCGGGTGGCCTGCGCCGACGGGCTTCGCCTCCCAAAAATGGCCACGGAAGAGCCCCAGACGGAACCGCGGAGGAGCCCTCGTGCCCTCCGCAGCTCCTGCCTCCTTCTCCTCAGTCCTGCTCCCGCCCCCCCTGCTGATCCTCCGGTTTTTTTCTCCTCCTCCTCCTTTCAAGCAATTTGGGCCTAAATCTTTTGGTGCCCAAACGTCGGGGCTTCCACGCAACGCTTGAGGGACTAGAGTCGGGCGCCGCAGTCGCCCAGCACACGACTAACACCGAGGTATCCAGATTTGTCTGTTAGATGATGGGACGGTCTCGCTCGCAGTCTCGACAGGGACCCACCTCCTCTCGTGAGATGCGGACTAGATGCAGCAAGTGCCAACGATGCGAGTGGAATCGCATCATCATGGCGAATGGAAAGATCTGCTCCCATTGTCATCAGCCGATCGAGCCGTTCGTCCCCTATCGTATCGTGCCTTGTGCAGGAGGGGACGTGAGATAAAGGGAAAATAGGAAGAAGGTGATGAGTTGGGGTAAGAGAAAGCAGCAAATGATGAGGAGGCAGGTGATGATGATGATGATGATGATGATGATGATGATGATGATGATGATGATGATGATGATGATGATGATGATGATGATGTGGAAGAGGCGGAGGAGGAGAAGAATGAGGAGATGGAGGAGGAGGAGGAGGCGGAGAAGGAAGGATGACGACAAAGGGAGCGAATGATGGAGGAGCACGAGGATTAATCAGACGGAGACGAGGAGCAGGAGGAGAGAGGGAGGAGGATAACACGGTGTGGGCGAAGGAGGAGCGCAGGAGGACCATTGATCGGAGGGGAGAACCTCTTACCCCCCTCTCCGATCACCACCAGCTTCTCCCGCTCGTTGTCGGCACCATGCTGCGCGGGCCCAGCGCTCGTTTCTGACTCGCGCGGCCCTGGTGTTCACCACTGGTCTGTCATGTGTTGTTGTTGTGCTGTGCTGTTGTTTTTGTTTCTCACTCTCTCTCTCACTCTCTCTCTCTCTCTCTCTTTATCTATGTTTATCTCTGTTTCTATCGATATTGTCTCCCCTCTCTTTCTTGTCTGTTATGTTTCTTTATGTGTTCTTCTCTCTCTGCCCCTCTCTCTATGTATATAATGCGTTCTCTCTCTCTCACTGTTTTCTCGCTCTCTCTCTCACTCTCTCTGTATATATATATATTATGTGTTGCTTCTCTCCTTCGCTCTCTCTCCCTCTCTTTCGCACTCCCTCGCACGATGCTCCCTCTCTTCCCATCCTCTCTCTACTCCCCCTCCCCCCCCCACACCTTCTGCATAACACGATAGGGGTCCTCGTTTGGAGCTCTGGGTCCGCAGTTATGGTACGATCCGAGAAATCCGCGCGGACCTCCGAACATGCTTTGCTTATGCAATTCTTCGTCCCCCCATCTTCGAAGAACGGATGACGGCCAGATGGGAACCTCTCACGAGAACAAAAATCGGCCCGGACCAAACAACCTGTGGGTGTAAAAAACGATGCGCGGAGAGAGGGGAGGCGCGCCTCTCTCGAGAGAAGTGGCGGGGGAACGAGAGGGGAGAGCACTCCGTTCATGCTGAAGAGTCTTGGAGGAGATGGGAAGCTGAGGAGTATCGAGGACGGGGGACTCGCGAGGATTAGCGCAGCAAGGTGCGAAAGGGCCGCCGCAAGAACCCAGACTACCCAAGAGGGCGGCCACCCGCGTGCTCCCCAGGCTGGGAAGGGGGCCTGGGCGGAGGAGGAGGAGGAGGAGGAGGAGGGAGAGGACCAGTGTAAATTCGAGACTCCTCAACGATACTGCAATCAACCCTCCCTCCAAGTTCGATCTGCAAAGGCCTCCTGCACGGATCCATGTTCACTGGTTTTGAAGACAATCGCTTGAATATCTGGAATTGCGCTAGAACGCCATCCCTGGGACATCAACGCCGCGAATCACTGTTACTGTTGCGCCAGAACGATCCTGGATCGTGCCAGAAAACAACCTCTGGGACTTCAGCTAGGGCTCCCAACTTCGCGCTTCGCGCTCCGCGAAGCGCGAAGCGCGAATAACTTCGCGCCCTCGCGCCGCCCTCCCAAAGGGAGAATAGGAGGACGAGGAGGAGGGGGAGAAGGAACGAGGACCGCGAAGCGCGAAGCGCGAATAACTTCGCGCCCTCGAGGGAGCCCTTGAGAAAACAACCTTTGGGACTTCAGCACCGCGAATCAGAATGACAGTTGCGCCCTGACGTTCTGACATCGTGCCAAGACACCATCTCTGGGACGCCAACCATGCGAGTCCTTGACACTCCCTTGCGAACTCTTGATGCGACTGTGCGAAACGCTGAGGTGAGAACCACAGTTTCAAGAAGAACCTCTCTCCATCCGTGAAGCTCTCGTGCAAACTTTTAACACGAATGTGCGCGGCGCTAAGGCGAGAACCGCATGCTGAAAACGAACCGCCCTCCATCCGTGAAGCTCTGGCAAATTAAAAAAAATAATGTGTGGCGACAATGCGAGAACAGCATTGGAAAACGGACCGCCCTCCATCCGCAAAACTCTTACACATTCCAAACTTCCGGATCATAATCCATGAGGAAGAAACAAGCGAAACGCCCGGGCCGCCCTTTCGACCGGCCTCGGGGTGCGACAAAGAAAACATTGTTCACAAGGTCAAAGAATTGAGGAGGTAAAACGTGCCTGGGTGGAACCGGAGGGGAAGGAGAAGGGGAGAGGTCAGGAGCATGAGACGTGCAATTGTGACTTGTAATGGCAACTCCCTAATCCAACTTAATTGGCGAAGGGCGGTGTTAGAAGTGGTGCGCGGGATGGGTGTCCGAAGGGCGTAGTTTCTAATCCTGCTGGCAGATGCGATGTCTAACGTGGAAGTATCGAGCATGTCCGCTGTGCATGAACACGTCGGAACAGATGCCGCAACCGATAGCGCAAACCTTCTGAGCAGATAGAGCAGCAACGCATTGGGAGCCAAGGGTCTTACGAAGGAGCCCGAAACAGGGGCAAGCCGATTGGCGGCGCCCTGAGAGTTGACACAGGCGAAGGAGAAACGAGACACCAACGGGGGTAGAGCAAAAATGCGATGGGGCAACATGACCAATCATGCGAATACTGCGCGAGACCCATGGGAAAGGGAGGAACTCGATGATGAACCAACACATCCGGACGCAGAAATGGGACACCGTGGCGATACCGCGTGCCTGAATGTCAGAGGACCCCCAAATAAACACCATCGAACTGCAAAACCCTGTTTCTCTCCCCGCTTGAACCCCCCAGGTCTTTTAGCCGACGCTCACCAGCGGTTTGTCACAGAACGGTGGCCTCTCGGGCCGAAAACGGAGCAGACGAGTTCCACTGAACTTTCTGCCCCGTCTTGCCTCTCGCCAGCGCCGCCAGCCCCGAGCGGCCGATTTTCCCCCCGGAACCCGAGGCAGGGCCCTCGGAGGCCTTTGAATCCAGAAACCCTCCACGGGACCCCAGACCGAGACCAGATAAGGGCCGCCAGCAGCCCGAAGGGAAGAAAGGCGCTGGGTGAGGCAAGGCGTGACTGAGAGGGCACCGAAACTCCCAAGAGCGCTCTTCCTCCAATGAGGGTGGCTCGAGGGTGGGAGCACAAAACTTCGGACGAGGCGGCGCGCGTCGCAACCAGACTGGGGGGTGAGCGTGGCACGGAACAACACACATTAGAACATGATATTATGTTTCTCTCCCCGCTTGAACCCCCCAGGTCTTTTAGCCGACGCTCACCAGCGGTTTGTCACAGAGCGGTGGCCTCTCGGGCCGAAAACGGAGCAGACGAGTTCCACTGAACTTCCTGCCCCGTCTTGCCTCTCGCCAGCGCCGCCAGCCCCGAGCGGCCGATTTTCCCTCCGGAACCCGAGGCAAGGCATTCGGATGCCTTTGAATCCAGAAACCCTCCACGGGACCCCAGACCGAGACCAGATGAGGGCCGCCAGCAGCCCGAAGGGAAGAAAGGCGCTGGGTGAGGCAAGGCGTGACTGAGAGGGCACCGAAACTCCCAAGAGCGCTTTTCCACGACTCCCTCTCTGGCTGTGCCGAAAAAACTTTGGCCACATCGTAGGCCAGCAAATTGCCAAGATCACAGAGTGTCTGAAAACATGCTGGCGAGAACTGCGTATCTGAAAGGGCCCTCTGCTAAGTATATATGAGCAGTGGCCGGATTCTGCCACTTCCCCTCTTCAAGGGTGGCAAAGATGTTATGAGTTCTCACAAACTACGATGTGGCCCCCCTCTTGTCTGAGACTGTCAGGGGGAAACTGAATTGCTGGCATTCGAGGGCAGAGCACGACTGCTCAAGCTTGTCACGAAAATAGAGTGATGCTCGAGGTGGGAAGGAGAGCTTCAGGATAATATGGTGAAGCAAGACGCTGGCGAGCGGCACAACTGGCGGGTCATGGATCATCACTCACGCGGCTGACTGAATCGCAAGCTACTTTTTTTGACCGAAGGATGATGTCTATCTTGGCGCGACCCTCGACGGTCGCCATCTGCCACCGGTGCGGCGTCAGCATCCTGGTGGCCCCCAGGAAGCTTGCGAAGCCCATCCCGAGCAGCATTGCGATGACGTTGGGCTCCAGCCCCTCGCCGTGGCCGCCATCACCAGCAGGAACCCCCTGGGCAATGGCAGGACGCGCCGCGGCAGCTCGAGGTACTGCCAAGCACGCAGCAGTCGCCAAACGGCTGGCAAGCCTCGCTTCTTCCGCAAGAACAACTGAACTGCCGACAACGTGTGGCCCGCCAGGTCCTGCGGGTGGCCCTTGGTCCAGAGCCACTCGATCCACTCGGTCACGTGGAGGTCGAGCTTGGCAGCGTGATCTGAAGCTCCCGTCCACGTGAGGCCTCGGCTCACAACCCAATCTGAGAGAGGTCTAAATGCATTGTGGTAGCGATCGAGTGTCCGCGGCTGCACCAGGTTGAGAAAGAGAAGCGCGCCACAGCAGCTCGAAGCTGTGGGCGTGTGGCCTGATCTGCTGCCGCTCGCGCGCTGCGAGGTGCACGCACTGGCATCTGGCGGCCGCCCAGACCTCACCGCCGCTCGCGATGGATCTTCGGCGGGGTTGCGGTCGGATTCTGTGCAACCGTACATGGGGCGAGCCAGAGCAGCCAAGATCAAGGCACCAGCACGTCGAACAGAGGAGTGCAATAGATGTGCGGATGAGCGACCACGAGTGTTCACTCCTAAACCTGCCTGCGAGTTCATGAAGTGACAGAAGCTTGTACGTGGAGGATGAGAGGAACGCGAACTCCGTAAGCGAGTCCCCAGCGTTGCGCGCACCTCGAGGTCCGTGATGCGTGATGGTCTTTTCCACTCCCCGATGGCGGTCGCGGGCCAGGTCCAGCGGGCCCCGCTGAGCGGCCTCCTGGGCCGCCGGTCTGGCTGCGTCGCTTCGAAGGTGTCCAGCCTGATGTCGCTGCCACGAGCCTGTGCTCGACGCGCCAGCCCCTCCACGATCACGAAGCTCGGGTCCAGCGCCGCGTCCGGCTCCTCCAGGTTCTGCTGCTCGATGGGCACGCCTTCAACGTGGGTGACGTCGTTGAAGGCGACGCTACCATCCTCGATCGTGGCGCCGCCACCAAAGTCGCGCATCTCCACCACCGAGGGGACGGCGTGCAAGTACCTAAACTTCACCGTCCCGTGTGCCAGGATCCACGCCTCTGCCGCGCACTGGGACCTGCTGCCCCGCGGGGAGCGGCGAGTCGCCTCCTGCTCGTGTTCTTCCAGCTTTCTGGCACTGGTGACCCGAGCTGTGATGGCGTGCCCTGGCAGGAAGTCAGGAAGTAGCTCTCTCCCCACGCTGTTAGGAGGTCTGGACGCACCACTGGGCTCCTCGATGCGGCTCTCGTTCTTAAACTGGTATGGCGCATGGCAGTACTCAGCATCTTGCCATCTCTGAAGCTCCCCCTCACAGCGGGGTTGCAGCCCAGGATCCAATTTCCCAGGGGCGCACCGAGGAACACATCGTAATAGATCCCGGCTCAGCCAACGCCTCACCTGGCTAGGACCCCCAGGCATATGGATCATCTCGACGCCCTCGAAGACGGAGACGTCGCCTTGCCACCCGCGCAGTAGGCTCTCGTCGAACCAGTACGAGCGGGCGCGATAGCGGTGCGCGACGCCGCCAGCCTCGACACGGCGTGGTTGGTGGCCGAGGTGCTCGCACATAAAGGTGCGCGGCTCGGCATTTATCGAGACCACGTTCTCGATCAGAGTCACGAGCCGACAAAGCTCACCCAGCACTTCCCCCAGGAGCAGGCGGACGCGGGAGATCTCAATGAACAGCTTTGAGTGCCTCCCCTGTGGCCCGACGCGCTCCACGCTGCTGTGAGCGAGGTCGGTGCACGGGCTTCCGCCGATGAGGAGGATCCACTTAGTGTGGGACACGCGGTCTCGAAACGCCATCGCCTCAGCGTGCCCGAAGGACTGCGCGTCGCCCACTTTCAGCACCTCGGGCCACGCATACTTGGTCACTCTCTTGGCCTCGGCATCGATCTTCGCGGCCACGAACAGCACCGGGGTGAGATGCAAGAGGTTCAAGGTTCTGCGAGCCCCTCCTATCCCAGCGAAGAGGGACATCAGCGCCAGCTCGTCGCCAAAGACCGTCACGAGCCTCCCGCTCGCTGCTCTTGCCGCTGCGAATCCATCTCACCCAAGAAGAACGTAGCGGCAGACGGCGCCCCTCTGCACGTTGGCGTCGGACACCGCCACCAGGCCGCAGAAAGGCATGCGTAGGTCCCGGCTCAAAAGTGGCAGCAGCGCCAAGGCCGAGATGGGCCCCTCGCGGACCGTGGCAGGCAAAGACGCCTGGCCCTTGATGCGGACCAAGAGCCGCCACAACTCGGTGAAGCACATCATCGCCGCCCTCCTGAAGCGCAGACGACGCACCCAGCGGCCCGCCAAGATTTGCATCCACTTCTTCGTGACGCCCCTCCTCCTGAGCGCGTCGATGGTGAGAGAGACCAAGCGCTGCGCGGACTGGGCGGGGGGCCTGCTCATGCCCTGAGCTTTGTCGATCGACTCCCCCCTGGGCTGCGACTTCACCTCCTGGATCACGGCCTCGTTCTCTCTCCGAGGCACCCCGAAGCTCTGGCCCCTCTCTCTCGATATCTCGGCCAACTCGCTCATGCCCTTCTCCTGAAGCTGGTCCGCCTGCCACCAGTCGGTGATCTCGAGCACGTCAAGGTCGTCGATAGTACAGCCAACCTGGCCTCGAACAGGGGCCACAGCTCCACCGCCGCGGTAAGCCCGACGCGCAGGCGGTAGGGGAGCATCATTTCGAAGCTCCTCGCAAGCAGCCATCTGTTGGAGTCGAGGATCCCACGATCGAGGCAGACAGCGGTGGATGTGTTGAGACACTTCTGTCGCCGAGATCCAGCCCATGGGGGCCACCGCGGCTGCCAGACATGTCAGCCCCGTGCCAGGCAGACCGACAACGCCCCGCCGCACCGGCTTGGAGAAGGCCAAGTACTCCAACCAGGCGGCGCACGGGCTGTACACGTAGCAGTAGCACTTCAGGTCCTCCGCGTTCCAGAGCAAGAGCTTCCCTGGGCGCGATACCGTACTTCTCCACTTGCCGTTGTGAGGGAGTGAGGGCATGTCCCCCTCTATGGTGTGCTGAATGAAGTTGGACGGGGTCATGTTCATCACCAAACTCTGGGGGCCCTCGCCCCTCGCGTGGGAGCCCTTCTTCACGCCGAACATGCCGCCCATGAACTTCTGGCCACTAAACTCCACGATCTCTTCGTACTCGGTGGGCTTCAGGACGCCGCGCGTGACGAGGTTGCCTGCGAGCAGCTCCCACTCTGAGTTGGAGGCCCACACCCCGGGCGTCGGCGGCAGGTCTCCAATCTCCTCCACCTTCATCAGGATGAACCTGGGGTCAGACAGCGCCGCCTGCAACCAGCCCTCGGTGACGTCTAAAGCCTTGACCACCGTGCAAGCATCGATCGGCGGCATCGCCTTCAGTAACTTCGGCCTGACGAGCGGCTCAGCTGGGAAGACCTCCTCGCCATCATGTGAGGTCGCCGCCGCTGTCCGCCCCGACTCCCAATCCACGAAGGGTATCGTTCCTGAGCGCTGATAACGGAACACCCGAACCTCGTACGGCAAGTGGTTAAGCGCCTGACGCTGCACGGCACTCGGTAGCGCCTCAGGGGCAGCCGACCATCTGCGCGCGTAGTGGTAGTTGTTGCCCGTACGGATGGCGTGCACCCAGCTCAGCTTTGCCTCCGCGCCCTCGGCCAGCAAGCCGCTCTCCTCTGCACGATCTCCACGACCCAGAGGAGCGGCCCGAATGTTGAACGCGATCGGGAGAAGAGGTAGAACTCGTCTTTCTCGTCGACCGTTCGGTGGTGAGCGTCGTGAACCATTAGAAATAACAGGGGCACTATCAAGTTCATCTCGGAGACTCCGAGGATTATGATGAGGTGGAGCTGAAACAGCATCGGAGGTTATACGCTGAAAGGCCGGGTATGAGTAGCCGCCAACCACACCACGCTCGGAGGAATGTCGACGAGCCGAATGTGAAACCGCATGCATCGGTACGGCATCGGGTGCACATTGAGGGGCCAGTAAAAGTGTGCCATCAGCATCTGCCGCATCGGGTATACGTTGAGGAGCCAGGTGTGAATGAACGCGATCTTTTGAATAAGCGGGTAAACGTGTCAGGACGTGGTGTAACGCACGGCCGAACTCTCGCAGAAAGCAGTCCCCCGAGTGCTCCAGCGGAAAGCCAGAGACAAGGGCAGATGAACAAGGTATTGAAATCATGAAGTCGACCTTTGCGCCCAAGCGGAAGTCGTGCTCCACGTCGTGCATGTTAGCGAAGAAAGAAGGGGGGGGGCTCCTCGAAGGCGTCGGCATCCAACGTGGTAAACCTGCCAGACGCGCCTACACTGGAGTTCACCTCGATCACGGACTGGGGGCTCAACGATGGCCCTTGCCCGTCGCCTTGCCCTGCGACCTCCGTAACTACCTCTTGCCGAGGCGCTTCCCAGGTTTGCCCTTGCCTGGTTTGTCTTTGCCACGGCCCTTGAACGCCATGCTCTTGCGGCCCTTGGGGTTCCTCGGAGGGCCCTGGTTCGAACTCCGCGTCGACGACATCGAGCTCGCTCGCCGCTCCGAGTCCTCCACGAAATGAACTCGTCAAGCTGGAGGGGGCGGCCTGGCATTGCCATGCTGTAGTGGGCGAAGAATCGGCCGCCTGTAGGGACTTGGGCTGACTCCTCCGCGAGGAATCTCGCGCGGTGAACCTGGCACGGCGGCGGCAGAGGGCGGTGCTGCAGGCGGCCTGGCTGCGCTGGCCCCCCTGCGGCGGCGCCTGGGCTCGCGGGGGCGGCCCCAACGGCTGCGCTCGCAGCCGCTGCCCGCCGCCTCTCCGCACGCCAGCGTGACCTTCTCAGAACCTGCTCGCGGGAGAGCAGGGAGGCGACCTGCAGGGGCCGTTTTGGTTCTGGTTCTTGCCAGGGCCCGCGGCTGCTGGCCTTGGCCACGCCCGCGCTCCTCGCCAGGCCGCGCATCCTCCTGTGCTGGCCCACCGCCGCGTGCACCTCCTCCTGCTTCGCGAGTCCCACTCCTAGGTCGTCGCAAAGCTCGAGGTGCGGCGCCATCCGCCAGCGTCTGTCTCGCGTGCCTCGCTCGATCGCCTTCCGCCTCGGCATGGGGAGGTCTCCGAGATGGTCCGGTTGTCCTCGAAGCAGGGCGTCGAGGCACTCGCCGACTGTCCTGAATTCACGCCCGTTCCTCACCCCCATCTCGCTCTGAGGGTGGTGGCCGTGCCAGACGCTGGTGAGGTGTCGCGCCACTGATGCTGCAAACTCGTCCAGGCTCTCGCGACCGCCCTGCCCCCCTCGCCGAGCCAGATACTTCTTGATCTGATCCGTCCCGCTGAGGCTTGGCGCACCAGATACCCTTCGCGCTAGATGAGAGGTCCTGCGGCCTGGTTCGACGTGTGGGGCACCGTCGATAAGCGGGTCCTCGGAGCTGCTGCCACCTGAACCATCACGACGTTGATGTCGGCCACGGCGTCTGCGTTCGATCCTCGTCAAGGTAGCTTCGGCACAGACCGTCCATGGCTCGCCGATGCTTCGCCTTTGATGCGGTCGCTTCTTGAGTCCAGGAATCTTCTTCTGCAGATCCTCGGGCGCGGGCTGGGCCACAGGACTTCCAGGAGCGAAAGGAGCGGCAGCAAGGAGGGCAGCAGCGGGCGCGCCAGCCGCAGCTCCAGGTTTTGCAGCGCCAGGCTGCTGCACCCAGGCCTCCGTCAAGTGGATGGGTGAGTGCATGCGGTAGGTCTCCTCGCGCAGCACCGACCTCTGAGGCCATTGGACCAGTCCAGCACATCCACCTGCTTGCTGCGTGCACAGGTACAGCACCGCGCCTCCTAGGCTGGCGAAGCCACCAGCCAGCGTGGGCCACCGCGAAGCGTGGCTGCAGCCCATGAACAAAGCCTCCACGAAGCAATCCATGCCACCGCCAGGCCACACTCACACTCCGCACCCGACAGAGTGTAGTCTCCGCCGCGCTCCCGACGTCGTCCAGCGCGACGCCCCCCAGCATGCATCCTGCCCCTCCTGGCGGGGCCGCCAAACCGCAGCCCTCAACGCCTCCCGCGGCGCACGCGCCTGCCGCCGGCACCCAGCCCAGCAAGCCGCCTCCTCCAGGGGCGTTCCTCGAGGCACCTTCACCTCGGAGGCCTCCTCTTGGGAGCGGCCAGGCCTCAGCGCCGCCAGCGCCGCCAATGCCCAAAGCGCCAGGTGGCAGGCCTGACGCTGTCCCAGCGGCGGCGCCGCACGCGGGAGCGCCGTGACCCACGACAGTGGCTGCGCCCTCGCCAGGACCTGGTGGTGCAAGTCCTCTGAGTACTGCCGCTCCGCCAGGGGCTCTGAGAACTGCGGCGGGTGGTGGCCCTGGAGCTCCAGCGGCGCCGTTGGCGGCGACTCCAAGGTCAGCCCATCCAGCGTCAACGGGCGCTCCGCCTCCAGCCACTCCAGGGCCTGGCTCAGCAGGGACAGCTGCGGCACCTGCATCGAGCACCAAACATCCCAAGGACCCACCGGCGCCAGCCACCGGCCCTATGGGGGTCTCGCCTGCAGCTCCGCCAGCGGGGACACCTCCGGCATCGCCTCCTGCCGCAGCTGCCGCCCCAGCACCGTCTCGCCGAGCCCCAGCGCGTCTGCGAGCGCCTCCAGCAGCGCCTCCCGCCGCTGTCGCCCCGCCGCCTCCAGCAGGTGGTGCTCCTGCAGCGCCTCCAGCCGCTGCAGCCGTGCCTCCGCCAAGTGATGCCTCAGCCGCACCTCCAGCAGCTCCAGCACCGCCACGTCCACGTCCGATCACCTTGGCCCGCGCCTTCGCCCTGCCTCGGCCGACGCCCTTACCAAGGCCGACTCCCGCAGGAGGCGCAGGCAGCGCCGCCGCGGCCCCCGTCGGCAGCGCCAGGAAGCCCGCAGCCGCCAACAGCGCCACGGCCACCGCTGCCATCAGCGCCGCATCGCCTTGGCCGTGCTCGCGCCGCTCGAGGCGGGCCGAGCGGGGGCGCGCCCGCGGCGCATCTGTGAGCACAAAACTTTGGACGAGGCGGCACGCGTCGCAACCAGACTGGGGGGTGAGCGTGGCACGAAACACCACACATCAGAACATGAGATTCTCTCGCACTGAACGGGAAGAATAACCGATCACCACAGGGGCTTGGTCTAGTTCAGCCCGTGCTGGCACTTACCTCGAGAGCATTGGCACACCCAACGTCAAAATTGCGCATGTCTTTTTGTGTCCTCTGAGCGTAGACATCTCCGAGTTGAAACGATTCCTTCCAAGACACGTTCACGGCACATCTGCGGTCGAAATGCACATTGATCGAGGAAAATCCGACGCCCCCCCGTGGTGCCTCATGACTGTGACCCGCCACGCTGAATCTGAAAGTGCGACGGTGCATTTTGGATGGTAAGTATTTATCCTGTTTTGGAGGAACCTCGGTGAGGCCTCAAGAGAGCCCCACAAGGCCCCCCAAGAGGACACCCAGACTGATAGAAATTTGGCACAACTCCACCCTCAACAAAGACTCGGATTGTGTCCAGTTCGTGTCTGATCCTGGGCCCTCTTGGGCGCCGCTTGGGGCCAGTCTTGATCCCTGCTGGAGCATTTATGGGCACATCTTGGGCAAGAATCAACGAACCTCAAACACACGGAGACTATGCTAATTCATGTCCGCACCTGCCCGACTACGGCAGGTTCGTGTCGTGCCGACCCCAGCGTTGGTTTTTGACACCGCAGGGATCGTTCAACCTTGAACGATCGGCCGCTGCCGCAACGTCCGATCGTTCAACATCGATCGATTCTGGGTCGCCGGCGGCGTTCAACCTTGAACGCCCGCGCTGGGGTCGCCGCTGGTCGACACGACGCAAACCTACCGTACCTGGCATGGGGGTGGCCAGGGAACATCGGTTGTTCTGTTGCGCAGCCTGGGAGGGCCCTCGCGCAGCACTTCGCCAAGCAAGTTCACCAAATCCTGTATTGACTACCTACCAGACCACCCCAACCCAACCCGAAGACCCGAATTTCGGGTTGGGGGGGGGTAAGGGTTCCACATGTGTTTTTTCGATGTTTCCCGACCCCCCCCCCACTGGAAATCGAGGGTAAATTTGAGCCTTCGGGTTGGGTTGGGGTGGTTTGGTGGGTGGTGATGTATTGTTGCAAGGTTGAGGGTGAAGTGTCACGCGCACCGATCGCGTAACGCTTCGAGACATTATGCGCAAGAGCCGTGTACTGACGAAGCGTGACGGACATCCGGCTTTCGTGTCTCACCGAACCCTGGGAGTTGACATGTTTGAGGGCAATATATCACGTGCATAAGTGGACGCATCGAAGTGTCACGCGCATCTGGGCCACGGTTCTCAACAACAACCTGTGGGTTTACATGCTCCAAGTCGAACTGTTACTCGCAACAGCCGCGTAACACTTCGAAGTCTTACGCGCATCTGTGCCGTGGGTCTCACCAAATCCTCATGATTTAAAATTTTCTGGCAAGGTTGCGACAATCAGCGATGTAACAAAAACATGGTTGCGAGCATCAGTCTCGCGACGATAGGTTGCAGCGAAGCTGGGTTACATAGCCCCACAACATGAGATAGGGGGGAGGCCATTCAGGTCTTCCTTGACCTCCCAGTCGTCTGACATATTCAGGGGATGCGTATGAGGCCTCCTCATCATGCTTCTCCCCTTCTCTGGGGGAATACGCGCCCAGACTCTCTGAGAACGTCTGGCTACAAGTTCTCGTGAGCACACGGGCCACATGTTTCTGCTGCTGCTGCTTTGCTTGAGCGCCAGGGTGCGTTGTGCTTCGCTGCTCGACGCCTGGATGCTTCAGGGGCAGGCTCGTCAACAGCTGGCGCTTCTTGTACGCCAGGGCCCACAGCGGGGACTGCACCGCATCTCGCACAATTATATAGCAATGAGCAACGAGCTTCACATTGACATGGTGCAGCGCCTTTTCCACCATGATACAGGCATACCCCCCAACACTCAAATCGTACCACTGATCTCCCCCATCTCCTCCCCCTCTTATCTGGCCATAATTCGCGTCACGCGAGGTGCCGATTTGAATGATGATTGAGACCGGGGGAGGATGAGGAGGAGGAAAAGAAGGAGTACGAGGAGGAAGAGGAGGAGGAGGAGGAGGAGGAGGAGGAGGAGGAGGAGGAGGAGGAGGAGGAGGAGGGGGAAAAGCAGGAGGAGGCAGGGGAGGAGGGGGAGGAGGACAGGGATGAGCGGGGATGGACACGAAAGGGCAACACCGAGAAGTGAGAGGAGAGAAGGAGGCGAGGGGCTGGGGGCAGCGAGGACCGAGAAGAGGAGGAGCGAGGAGGAGGGGGAGGAGCCAGAGGCACTGGCGAGGAGCCAGGAGGAGGGGGCGGAGGAGGGGGAGGAGCGAGGAGGAGGAGAAGCGAGGAGGAAGAGGAGGGGGAGGAGCGAGGAGAGGGATGCGGAGGGGGAGGAGCGAGGAGGAGCGAGGAGGAGCGAGGAGCGAGGAGGAGGAGGAGCGAGGAGGAAGAGGAGTGGGAGGAGCGAGGAGGAGGGGGGGGTAGGAGCCGGCGGCCGTCGTCCTTGGACGGCAGCCACCGCCCGCTCGCGCTCCCGTGCAGCGGGTCCGAGTAGTTCGCGGCCGCCAGCTCGCTCTGCCACACGAGCAGCTGGCGGCGGGGGGCGCGGGATCCTTCGGTCTCGCCGCCCTCGTTGGCCACTCCTCGTCCTCCTCCTTCCCCTCCCCACCCTCTCTGGGCTGTGTCACTCATTAGTTGCGCACCCCCCCGGCTGACGAGGTCGTGCACCTTGCTTCCGAGGAGAGCCGAACCGAACTCCCCCCCTCCCCCTTTCTACTCCTCCTTCTCGCCGCCGCCGTCCTCCTCCTCCTCCTCCTCCTCCTCCTCCTCCTCCTATGCTGCTCGTCCTCCTCCTCACCCTGATCCTCCCTGCCACCTCACCTCCTCCATCTCCTCCTCCTACTTCGCGCTTTGTTCTCCTCCGCCCTCCTCCTTCTCCTCGTCCTCCTGAGCCCTGTCCTCCTCCGCCCGACCTGCTGCAGGGAGCCCCGGCCGGCGCCATAGGGGGGGGGGGGGGCCTCTGACGGCCCAGAAAAACTCAGAAGCCGAAGACCCCTTTTATCATGGAAGGCTTGGAGACTGACCCTCGGGCCCGAAGGATTGCAAAAAAACCTTCGTTCAAGGATTTTGTTTTGCAATCCTTCGTTCGAGGGCTTGTTTGCAATCCTTCGTTCATGGAAGGCTTGGAGACTGACCCTCGGGCCCCAGGAGGGCATGGACCTCGTCGAGAGTCGGGCTCGGGTCGCCGCGCCGGAGGGGTGAGAGGCCCTGGGGCCGAGGAGGGGAGCTCGGACTGCTCCAGCCTCCTGCAGGGCTGTGCGGCCCGAGGAAGCAGGTGTGGGACTCTCCTGGTGCTGTGGAGGAGGAGATCCCTGGAGCGGATGGCCCTTGGAGTGTCGTCGGATGCAGGTTCGCCCGATCTTATTGATCGTGTGCCGCCTGGCTTTAGGCCGTCCCCATCAACCTCGGCCCCTGCTCCTTATGCACAGCTCCTCGTCGCACCATCGCACCACCAGACGTTTCGGTGCATCGGGTGGGTCGGACCCTTCGCCATCAGGCTAACTCTTACAGAGTAAGATCCTGAAGCTTGCAATGTCCAGTAGCCACCAGGATAGAGGGTGGCCCATGTTCAAGATGTACCGCTCGCCTGTGCCCCGCATACACTGGCTTCAACAAGTTCCAGCGGCTACACAGATGGAGGGCGGCTGGTTGTGAATATGGTTATCGCCCTCGCGCCGCGCACATTCGTCTTAAATATTTCCAACGGCTGTAAGGATCGGGGAGACGTAAGACACGGGTACGGGGGTACCCGGGTTGGCCTGGCGAGGCCGTCAAGAGAATGACGAGACTCAGTCTGAAATTTGACGCGAGCTCCCTCTGCAAATATGAAGGGGCCCCAGGACACACAAATAAATACGCACAAAAAAAAATATTCCCCATATTTTCCCATATTTCCTGGGTTTTTGTCTTCCCCCCCAATTCCCATATTTTCCCATATTTTCCTGGGGATCGACGATGAATTGTGTCTGTGTTTTTTCCCCTCCTGCAAATTTCCCACGAAAACTGGACCGTCCAACTCCAGGGCGCGCTCGCCAGACAGCGCTGGCAGACCCGAGCTCCGGCGCACTCGAGTCCTACGTTCCCCCGAAAAGGACGCAGGTGGGTATCGTTTATCCGATCCCCATCCCCAGCGGCGTGGCCTGGGCCCACTGGCCGATTTACCCCCCTAGATGGGGATATAGGCCGTTCCCTTCGGGTTTCGAGGGGTGTATCCCCAACTGGGGGGGGTAATTTGGTGGGGGTCTCGAAGGGGATGGGGATGGGGATGGGGATCGGTTAAACGATACCGAAGGGCGGTGCCGTCTCAAGATGAGGTTCTCGCTTGGGGCTTGAAATCTATGCAGCAGTTGCGCGGGCGGAGGGCGGTTCCACTCCAAACCGGGGCCCTCGCTGGGCGATTCCCTGAACTGCTGATCGTACCTCCTCGCGGTCCCTCTGGCTAGAGCCATGTAGGGCGACTCCTCGTTGAACTTTGGCACTCGCTTCACTGGCAGGATAGTAGGGCCTGGAGGATAAGACGTGCTTGTCAGGACTTCCGAGGAGAAGCCAAGGGGCGAGAATCTGTATTGCAGCATCGTTGATGAACCCTTGGTTGACCCTGGTCCTCCGACTCCTCCTCCTCCTCCTCCTCCTTCTCCTCTTCCTCCTCCTCCTCCGACTCCTCCTCATCATCAGTGGGGGGACGGACAGGGAGCAGAGCCACGAGGAAGGATTGGTAGACCGTGGGGGCCTCGCGCGAGGCGGCCATGACATGAAGCCTGGGAAGGGGTGGGGAAGGGCAGCGGGAAAGGAAGGGGGAACAGAGGGACGAGGAAGGGAAGGGATGACGGGGAGCAGGAGGGGCAGGCGGGCAGGCGGGGATGAGGAGTCCGAGGCGCAACGGGCCCTGGAAACGACAGAGCCAGTTTCGATGCTTCCGAGAATCCTGTTCTCGAACATGACGTGGGAGACACCTCTTTTCACCAAACCGGTGGAAACGACGCCACCAGAATCAGGACAGGGATGCCAGAGCAGCAGGCGAGCAAAAGGCACGGCAGACTACGGAGTCCCAAACCAAAAAACAGAAAAAAAACGGGTCCTGAAATGAACAACGGGAGCACGGAACCAGACACGAGACTGCCTGGTCGTTGCCAGGCAACCCCAACGAGGTCGGATGCCGTCGCCGCGGGCCGCCGTCGCCGTGCCGTCGGCCTCGTCGCCGCCATCCACCGTCGCCGTGCTACCGTCGTCGTCGCCGCCGTCCATCGTCGCCGTCGCCGCCGCCCTCGTCGCCGGCGTGATCGTCGCCGCGGCCGTCGCCGTCCAGCGTCGCTGTCGCCTCCGCCCTCGTCGCCGTCCATCGTCGCCGCCGCCGCCGCTGCCACGGCCCATCGTCGTCGCACCCGCCGCCGCCCTGGTCGCAGCCGTCGTTGGGGAAACCAAGAGGGTATCGGTACACGATCGATACCGCTACTCCCCGGGACCTCTCCTGGGGTGCGTTCTGACCAGGATGTCGAGGCGACTCCAGCCGTGGCGACGGGGGCCTCCCAGGAGGCCTAAAGGGGGCGCAAAAGAGGCAGCGGTATCAGTATCGTTACCTGTCCTCCTCTGATCGTCGCCGTCGCCGTCGCCGCCGCTGCCGTCGCCGTCGCTGCCGTCGTCGTCGTCGTCGTCGTCGTCGTCGTCGTCGTCGTCGTCGTCGTCGTCTCCGCGACCTGCGCGCCCAGGAAGCAGCCGCCGACGCCACTGGCGGCGCGAAGGCGCCAGCCCTCGGAGAGGAGGCCCAGCGGCCACAGCTCCCGCGCGCTCAAGAGGGAGTGCCTTGGCACGACTGCGGGCCGAGGAGGGAGGATCGAGGAGGGTCCTCTTCCTGCTTCTCGTCCTCGTCCTCGTCCTCGTCCTCGTCCTCGTCCTCCTCCTCCTCCTCCTCCTCCTCCTTGTCCTCCTCCTCCTCCTCCTCCTCCTCCTCCTCCTCCTCCTCCTCCTCCTCCTCCATGGGATGCAGAATCGGTGAACAAATGGTGGCAGAAACGTGACATTCGGAGGTACGCGCGGGATTCTCGGATCGGCGCTGGAATGGGGCGTCGCTTCAGTTAGTGGAGAAGGGGGGGGGGATACATGCGGGGGGAGAAAGGTGCACTTCTCGGGCACTAAAGGCTCCCTTCTGGACCCTAAAGGGCCCAGTTAGGGGCCCTTTGCGGGCCCTTCAGGGGCCCCAAAGGGCCCCGTTTCTGTAGCCCTCGCTGTCCCCTCACTGATCGCCCCCCAAAAACGCGAGGTCCAATGGAGCCCCCTGGCGGCGCCTCCAGCTCCGCCCATGGCGCGCTCCGCGCGCTAGGGAAGAGGGGCTGAACGTCGATCCGCGAAATCCGCGCGGACCTCCGAACATTGATGATTATATCACTGCTTGTTCTCCGACAGAAGGACATCTACTAGTACTATAGGCCCTCCTTGGGGTCGCACGTCCGAACCGAACACTCTCTCTCTCACACACACATATATATATGTGTGTGTAAGTGTATGTATTGTACACTGTATGTATATGCACACTACATAAATATATACACATGCTTTTACCCGCCACCGCACCACTGGGCAAGAGGTGGGCGTGTCCTCAGATTATTTGCCTAACTCTCCAAGCCTCAATTCTCACTCCTGCGGGTTCTGCCAAATCTCCGGGGGCTTCCCCTGTGGCTTGTCGCGTAACATGTCTGGGCCCAGGAAGGCCCCAACACGGGTCAATAGGACCCCGACTGGCCCCCAAGACGTTTCGATAGGGCCCCAAGTCGCCGAACGATCGCTCCAAGACGCTCAAGATGGCCCCCAGACGGCCCAAGAGGCCTCCAAGACGCCCCAAGAGGCCCCAAAGAAGCCAAACTCATTGATTACCATTCGATCTGTGAAAATTGTTCAGCTTCTCGACGCTCCCGACGCTCGACGCTCCCAAACTGCCCTAGAGGCCCCCATGATTGCCCTACGCCCAAGAGGCCTCAAAGAGGGCCCTGAAACTTCACAAGAGGGCTTCAAGACGGCCCAAGAGGCGCCAAAGACGACCCAAGAGGACCCAAAGACGGCTCCAAGAGGAGGCCCAGATGGGGGAGCGGAGCAGATATTTCGAGCCCTCGGCCTTAATGGGGCCCCAGGAGGTCCCAAGAGGCCCCCAAGAGACACGGAGAGGCCCGCCCCAACTCTTGGGGCCCCCAAGAGGCTCACAAGAGGAACCAACATTGCCCCCAAGAGGCCCTCGAGAGCGCTCCGAAGAGAACCCCAGAAGCATCCCTGAGAACTCTGACCCACAACTCAGGCACGGTGGCAACATGGGCCTAAAGCCATTCGACCTGGGCCGACACGGGAACGGAAAGAGCGCTTCGGCAACCTGCCCCAGATGGCTCATGGCACCCTTCGCTCTTGGAAGCATTGGTGGTAAAAGTTTGTTGCGTCACCGCTCGTTCTTGGGAGCCTTGCTGGCAAGCGCGTGTTACGTCACCACTCTCTGTTGGGAACCTTGCTGGGAAGAGCTTGTTGTGCGTCACCGCTCTGTGTTCAGAGTCCTCGCGCCCATAGATGCTTACGTTGCCGCTCGCTCGTGGCAGCCTTGGTGGTAAGAGATTGTTGCGCCACCGAACGCTACTGGGAGCCTTGGTGGTAAACGAGTGCTATGTGACCGCTCTCAGTTGGGAGCCTTGCTCCTGCTGCTGCTGCTCCTCCTCCTCCTCCTCCTCCTCCTCCGCATCATCATCATCATCATCATCATCATCATCATCAGCAGCAGCAGCATCATCATCATCTTCCTCCTCTTCCTCCTTGTACCTCCTCCTCATATTAGTATTACAAATCGTATGCTCCTCCGCCGCCGTCTCCTCCTCTGCCTCCTCCTCCTCCTCCTCTCCTCCTCCTCCTCCCCCCTCCTCCTCCTCCTCCTCCCTCCTCCTCCTCTTTCTCCTCCTCCTCCTCCTCCTCCTCCTCCTCCTCCCCTCCTCCTCCTCCTCCTCCTCCTCCTCCTCCTCCTCCTCCTCCTCCTCCTGCTCCACTTCCTCCTCCTCCTCCTCTTCTCCTTCTCCTCCTCCTCCTCCTCCTCCTCGTATTCCTCCGTCTCCTCAGTACATCATCCTCCTCCTGACTCCGCCTCCTCCTCCTCCACCTCCTCTTCCTCCTCCTCCACCTCCGCTTCCTCTTCCTCAATATACCTCCCTTCCTCCTCCTCCTGTTCCTCCTCCTCCCCCTTCTACCTCCCGTCCTCTCCTCCTCCTCCTCCTCCTCCTCCTCCTGCTCCACCTCATATTCCTCCTCCTTCTACCTCCCTTCCTCCTCCACCTCCACCTCCACCTCCTCCTCCTCCTCCTCCTCCTCCTCCTCCTACTCCTCCTCCTCCTCCTCCTACTGCCCTCCTCCTACTCCCCCTCCTCCCCCTCCTCCTCCTCCTCTCCTCCTCCTCCTCCTCTTCTCCTTCCTCCTCCTCCTCCTCCTCCTCCTCCTCCTCCTCCTTCTTCTTCCCGCAGCCCTTGGGGACCAATGTCTGAGGTGTCCACGCATGCATACGTCAGCGGTGAGATAGGCGGCAAGTGTAGCGGTGGACGAGGAGAGCAGCAATGGCCAGCATCAACCCGACTCGCAATACAAATCGAGCGGGGCGTACAGATGGGCAACTGACGCCTCCAGCCATGCATCCCCAGGAGGCGTGGGGGCACAGCGTTGTGAGGCTGCCTGCGTGATGACAGCAGCTGCGTAGACTTCGATCTGGCTGCTGTCAGTAGGGGCCATGATCGGCATGGCATTCATGCACAGGCACTGACGGTCCCCCATGGGCTCACATCTCGACGTGACCGTCGGGGACGTATCTTGCAGGGAGCACAGGAACCTGACCTCGGGGACCTTCCACATGCAGGGAAGATTGGCTTGCGGAGCAGGTGGGTTTAAAAAGAGCAACACCGCCAGGCCCGAGGACGCCGCACACAACGCAAGCGTCAGTGCCGCCCGCAAACCGGCACTGTCGAGCTCCAGCTGCTTCCACTCCGAGGGCGTCCTGGCCGAAATTCCCCAAGGCTCATCGCAACTCCTTAAAGGCCTGCACTCACCGCCCTTGACTTTGCAGCGGGGGGTGGGGTCCCACGAGGAAAGGAAGAAATCCGCCACGAGTCCAATGACACGCCCAGCAAGAATGAGATCATTAATGAGCGATAGCTCCTTATGGAGTCCCTCAGTGGAGTCCTGAAAAAGCCCGCGAATATTAATAGACAAAACAAAAACATTCATGCCCACCATGGCACTGGACTTCTCCGCTCTGTCCTGGATGTCACCTTGACTCCTGGGAGCTGCACGGAGGATCACAATGTATTTAGTGCCAGGGGCCACAGGCATGTGGACCTCTGCCTGCGTGGGCATCTCTTCCTGGATGCATACTGGTTGGCACGAAATTCTCGGCATGCAAGTGGGAAGGCCCTTGGAGGCAGCCGCTCCCCTCAGCCTAGATCCCATCGTGAGGACAGGCGGGAGCTGCGCGGACTCCGCATAGTGGCCTTTCTCGCGAAGCGTGCGTGCTAGCTCCGCGTCCTCCGCCTTAGCCGCCATCAATTGTTCGGGGCTCATCGGTGCGATGACGGCCATAAGGTCCGCCAGGCACTTCGATGAGCCATGCCGAACGTGTTTAAGCAATCTAAGATGCGTGTGGAAGTTGAGACCGCAAGCCATGCACACAGTGCCTGAAGCGTAACTGGGGGCGGGATCTAGGTGGGGGTGGCACTTCGAGCGATGGGAGGCTCAAGCGCCCTTGGTGGCCAACACCGCCCCACAGTCCAAGCAGGGATACAAGGCGAGAACCGACGGCGGACGCAGAAACGACGGGAGCGCAAGACCCTTTGTGATGCAACATTTTCGCCACCCGTCTTTGAATTCTTCGTGGCGCTGATCGTCCAAAAATTTGGCCCTGGCAGCCGATTCAGCTTGCTTGCAAATTCGCTTCCAGAACTTGTTGCTGCTAGACCTCAGGAGCCACAGCCACCAAGCAGGGGGCCCTGACGGTAAGAATGCCCTGTCCAGGTTCACATGTCTGCTGAGCCATATCAGGTCATCGCAACACAATGCGGACCATGATTCAGGCACAGAGGCTAACTCGTCCAGGATCGCCAGCAGACACGCAGGCGCCGATTTGAGAAGCCTGGGAAGAAATCGCAGCCGCCTGAGCCTCAGTACCAGCTCGACGGGCAAGATCTCACATTTGGCAAAAACTCTATGGTCTGCAGCAACCTTGCCAGAGCCAGCGTCGTACCCAAGCCCAGCCGCCAATCTAAACGGGCTCAAATAGTTGTGGGCAAGGGTCGCCATCTGTTTCACGTTTAACTTGTGCCAGGTGAGGGCATTAAACAGAAGGTGCGACGTGCACAAAGACGTAACAAAAATTAACTTGGCCCTTAAATTGACTTGCTTCCTGGGAAAAACAGTGCGCCTCAGTACCCCTAGGGGGCGTCGCTGCTGATGACAACGGTGCGCCAGCTCAGGTCCCAGAGAAATTTGATGGTCCTGGTAACTTCCCAAGTGTTTGTAGGTTCTAGTGAGGCACAGGGAGACACCTAAGGAGGGGACGAGAAGGCCAGTGGCAGCCAAGGCTGCGCACTCCCCTCGTGCCTTCCTGGAACCTGTGCCGCTGAAGAAGGCCATGAGCTCCGTCTTGCCCGCCTTCCAGTTCATGGTGAACCCCCTAGACTTGGTTTCTTCGTACATGATCGTGACGAGGGCGATGGCCGCCTCCTTCCAGAGCCTAGCGTTTAACAGCTCGATGCCGTTGACGAGGTCATCCATGAAGGCAGGATCCCATACGTCTTCTT